CTTTTCATTCTACCGCCCCCCTGAAAAATGAAATCGCCCCCTGGGGGGCATTATCGCCCACGTTAAGAACCACTGATCTAAACGACAACAGAAGGGGCAGCACCAGGCACTCCTCTCTAACCCTCCAATTCTTTAACAGTTGAATAGAGTATTAATATTAGAGCTCAGGATCACCTCTAAAGACTGCTTGATGCAATGCTTCACAAACTACTTAATAAACTAATTTAAAGTAATCCTTGAATAACTTAATGGAATTCAGTACCACTAAATGTCATCATACTCATAAGCCACTATTTATATAGAATCTTTTCATTTGTAAGGGAAATGGGTTTATCAATGAGTTAAGGGGTTATACAGATAAAAGTGAAAGTAACTAGACATCAGTGGTAAGACACATGCTTTATGTGAATAAAATCCCAAGTTCAACCCCAGCATCACCCAGGTAGGAGTGGATAAACTCATGCCTAAAACCAGTGTTGATAATGGGCTAGATATATACTCAGTATAAGGCTGCTTCCTACATTTGTATGAGTTGGGTTGGGACTTAGAAAATCCAGGGTCTAATCTCCACTAAATCATGAAATCCACCGGATGACCTTAGGCCAGTCAACATATTTCAGTCTATCCTTACCTCACTAGGTTGTTGTAAGGCTAAAGTGGGAAGGAGAGAAGGTTTAAACTCACTTGAGAAAAGGGGGGATATACATGTAATTAATAAATGAAGACTGTCTAGCATAGTTAAAGGAAACTAAGACAAGCCTGTATATCTATATGAAATGTTCACGGGGGATAGCAGGGGAAGGTTATGAGCTTTCCAGAGGTAAATGGCTGGATGCTACTGGGTTGAGCAGAATACTAGATGAGTTTTTGGACTGGTCCAGTATAGAGCAAAGATTTGATCCCACATAGTTCTTGGGAACACATATGCAGTTAGACACTCAACTCACATGATGTCTGTCTGGGTGAGTTCTGCCATTGGATTCATGGGTGCTATTTTGGGTCAGTGAGGCTTCCCAACACCAGCAAAGATAAGTTCCAACTTCTATTTTGGCCCTGGGTGACATTCAAGCCTAGCAGTTTATTTTGGGATGGTGGGAATTTATATTGGCATATACTGTAATGGACACAACGAATGAAAGCGCAAAAAGGACAGATGAGGGCAATACACTATAAAAAGTAACCCACCGCCTTGTCATGTTCAGATCCAAGGCTTAACAGGCCAAATTCAGTAGCTGGAATCTTAAAAGATGATGCAACCACAACCATATACACACTAGCTGTATATGTGTATATGGAATGGTAGCGGGAACTGGGTATCTGCCAGTAATTAAAGCACATGAGACACCACTGCCATTTGATAAAGAAATTGATTCAAACATATTTCATAAAAAAGAATAGCTCAGAAAGACTGGACTAATCTGACAAAGTGAAAAGAATGATATGTGACTAGCCTGATTCATTTTTACCTCCTCTGTATTAATGAGAGAGAAACAAGGAATGAACCAAACATGTCTCCATATAGTGGGATCTTCTTCATTATTACTAACCCTCCTCTATCTTGGCTGCATAACTGCGAACATATTCCGACCAACCAAAACATGTACGTAGTCTAAATTACAATTTCTGCAGGATATGACATACAACAGCCTGGAAAACAAATGTATAGAAGTTATTAGCTCCCCTGTGATGCCCAGCCACTAAGAATGTCCTCAGAGGCATCTCTTTGTATTCATTTGCTATTTGAGGCAAGGTGGATGATTACAGGAGACTGAACCTTTCGGTTGAAGCACTTAAACTGTGGCATTCCCTTCATCAAGTTATTTGCCTGTTGCTGTTTTTCCTTTTTTCTTCCTCACTGGACAAAACCCTGTTTATTGCTCCCAGTTCTTCTGGCTACAATATTTTGTGCATTTTTTAAACAGGAAGCTGTTTCAGCTCTAGATCAGTGTCTGGTGACAATAATGGAATGTGTGAGAGCAAATAAACTGAGACTTAATCCAGACATGATAGAGGTGTTCCTGGTCAGTCAAAAGGCAGATAAAGGAATAGGGATTCGGCCTGTGCTGGACAGGGTTACATTCTCTCTTAAAACACAGTTTGGCAGCTTGGGTGTGCGACTGGATTTGTCTTTGAGCCTGAATGCCCGGGTTTCAGCAGTGGCCAGGAATGCACTTTCACAATTAAAACCAGTGCACCAGCTGCATCTGTTCCTGAAAAGGTCTGATCTGACTATGGTGGGACATGCTTTAGTTACATCCCAGCTGGAGTACTGCTCTAAGTGGGGCTCCCTTTGGAAAGTGTTCAGAAACTTTAGTGCAGGGGTCTCAAACATGCGGCCCGGGGGCCATTTGCGGCCCCCCAGATGACAGTTTGTGGCCCTCGCCTTGCCTGCCCCCCCCCAAAGCGCCCACACATCCTCTGCTGTCAAGAGTAAAAAAAAGCCTTGCCTCGCTCGCCGGCTCTCTCCCAAGATAGCACCTCTTGCACCGTCCATCCAGAACTGCAGCCTGCCAGCCAGCCCACCTGTCTGTCGGTTAAGGAAACTCCTGGGCGGCTTCCTCGGGCTCTCGCTCCGCTTGGCGGAAAATCTGATGCGGCCCAGCCTCACCCAGACTCTGTCTCTAGCGGCCCCCAAGTAAATTGAGTTG